GACGGCTCTCATCCTCTGCCACTTCAGTGATGTCGGAGTAATCAACAGCATCCTCTGTGCTCTTAACCCAGCCTAGGAGAAACACAAAACTTTATCCCAATTTATATTAGTTACATCAGACTTCACTAGGTACTTATGAATCCTTTGCTAAGCTTTCTTTCTTTAAAAAAACAAAACTATCTGATTAGCATCTCCCACCAGAGTACTGTTCCCCTCACTCTAATCAAAAGCTCTCACGGCTCTGAATTTCCCCTAAAAGATGGTAAGCAACCAAATTTAGCACAAGGAACACTTATCACTTACTCATGAAAACTGTACAACAAGTTCAGAAAGAGATATAATACTGTGTGCTAAGTAGGCTTCTTTAATACAAACACAGACTAAACTCATTTATGAAGGAGGAAAGACAAGTAAAAGAAAAAATACTCATAAAAAATTAAAGGGAACAGGTGCAAAATTGATCAGGAGCTACTGTGGAATTCTGTTTGGCAGGGTGGAGAAGGGAAGGTCTTTGACAGAGGACCTCTGACCAGAGACCACCACGATATTCCCTGCACACCCTGCAGACCCGGGTGCATTTTGTTCTCTCCGGCAAGAGCTGAGCTCCTGCAGCCCCTCCGCTCCCCAAGCGCAGCCACCCCAGCGCCAAACCTTCCTCGTCCAGGTGCGCTCCCTCGCTCTCGGCGCTCTCCTCCTCGCTGGCGGTGATCTCGGTGATGAGGTTGCCCAGCCCCAGCACGCCCAGCCCGGCCAGGTGCTTCTTGGATTCCTGGGGAGACCAGAGCTGGGAGGCTCCGAGCGCCGGGCCGGGCCGAGCCCCTCGGGCGCCTGCTGGGTCCTGCCCCAGAGCCCGCCCCGAGCATCCCCCGGGACATCCCGGGTTACCCTGGGACACCCCGGCTGACCACAGGACACCCCGAGCACCTCCATACACCCCGGTTCACCGCAGCAGAGCCCGGGATATCCCGGTACATTCTGGCACAAACCGCGTCACCCCGGGATAGCCCACAGGGCGCCCCAAGCACCCCGGCTCACCCATCCCTCCGCCCGTGGCGCCTTCCCGGAGCGACGCGGCCGTACCTTATCGAGGACGCTGTCCCCTTCCAGCTGCCCCGCCTCATTGATGTTGCCGAAGAGGAAGCCGGCCAGGGAGAAGGGCTCGGCGCGGCCGCCGTCCGCCTCCTCCTCGCTCTCCGAGTCCGACATCGCTGCCGCGACACCGAGAGCGAGCGGAAACGGCGGCGGGAGCGGCCCCGGGAGCGGCGCCCGCCCACAGCGCCCCCGCGCGGCCCCGCCCCGCGGCGCAGCAAGGAAGCGCAGACGCTCCGGCCTTGCCAAAAATTCCTTTTATTGCCTCAAAGAACCGGGCCTGGCTTTCCACAGGAAAGAGCTGCCTTCAGCACAGGGGCGGTACAAACAGCAGGGAGAGTTAATGCGACAGCCAGAGAGGTGAGGAAAGGTTTATTACAATGTCATTATGCATAATTTATAAAAAAAAAGGAGGAAAAAAATTCTTTAAAACTGTTAGATGTAATACAAATTATTTTATAGCATAAAATCAAGTTGCCAGTGTATGTATCAGTACCACACTTCAGAGTCTTGGGCTCCCACTGCTGATGGGTGGTCCTTGCTGCCCACTCTGGGGGTTGGGACCCCTCTGAGATCCATCCACTTCTTGGGTCAGCCCAAGCAGCACCAAGGTTTCTACAGAGTGAGGTTTAGCACCCGGAGACAAAGCACAGGGAGGTTCTTCTACTTTAAATTTCATAGAAATAGCTACAGCTGTAAACTGAAGAAAGCACTTCCAAATCTAAGCACAGCTCATGGATATCCTTTGGACACACAATTCCTGAACTGCTCAGCTTCAGCTGTATTTAAAAAAAAAACCCAAGTAGTTCAGAAGTCATTTACAAAGCAAAGGTTAAAATCTGTGTCTTCACAGTGAGTCTCTTCTGTGATTTAAGACATACACATTGCATCTCTATTCAGTAACAAACCAAAGGACCTTGAACCAATCAGAAAACCCACACTGAGTTTTCTGACCTCCCAAAACAAGACAAAATCCAGCCATGGGATTATGTGAAATCTGTATTTTTCAACTGCCCACAGAAGAAAAATAAAGCATGGAAGAAACAGAACTGATTGTAAACTGAAGCACTGGATTACTTACAAAAAAAAGGACCAAGGTTCCAGGGGGGGAAAAAAAGGAATGAGGATCAAGAAAGGAGAATGCCCACTGAAAGGAAAAGCTCGCTGGATTTGTCCTGAAGGTCACCCTCAAGGAAAGCAGAGGCTGGAGGAAACCAGCTACTAGCCAGGACTTTTACTCCTGTCAGAGGGTGACAGAAATATAAAGCATTTAAATAATCAGGTTCTCCAAAGTGAGTAAAAAGTCTTTGATGGTTCAAAGTTCCCTCTGCTCATTTTTATTACTATCATGTTATTCTCCTCAGCACTGTTGTGCAATCCATTTGCTAAGTAATCTAAGTGGGGATAAGGTGTTCTGGCATAATGTAATCAACAGTGTAACCAAATCAAATAAATTGATTAAGTAGTTGAATTTTATCTTGCTACACTCTCTTCCAGTTCACTCCAGGATGGCTGCTTGAGCCTACAGAAATGGAGGGGTTGTGCAATAATACTTGCTCACAAGATTTCTTCTCCACAAAATGCATGTAATTCAGTTAGGAATAACCACAAAAAGGCACAGGATTAAAAGATTTCAGTATGTAAAAAAGTAAAAACTTTTAAAAACAGTAGTAGCTTCAGTACAAAACTGCAAATATATGTAGCCAAAAAAAAAAAAAAGGTAGACTTTTAATTTCAGGCACCTCTTAAGACTAGTTCAAACATATCACAGATTTTTAAAAGTACATTTCTGAATAAAGCAAAGGTTATGGGCTTGCACTGGGGTCACTAGATAGTTGATTTAGGTCTGACCAGCATTAAAACAAACCACGTGCACTGGCTTAAATAAATACATTTTAAACATGATAAAGTCTATTTACTCAGTTACTGAAATTTACCTACGGAAAATAATCTTGAATTACAAGGCACAGAGTTAATTGCTGCCTGCAAGCCCAGCCCACACTACAGGCCTACAGCTAAAGCAAAGGCAGAAGGTGGTGAGTAGAGGTTATCTCAGTGAATTCTCTACACCCTCACAGCCTTCAGGGCAGGAACCACATCTGGAACAGCGCTTCCTCTGCAAGTGCAAGAGACACAAAGACACTCCAGGCAATGGCACTTGGTGAAGAAAAATGTGCAGAGTGTGTAGGCTTCTGCAAACATCCTGCAGAAAGGGTGTTTTGGTACTGCCTGTGCTCAGCTTGGAACTCTGTGTTGGTTCACTGACCACAGGCACCAGTATTTGGATTAACTGCAATTTGTAATCTGTGGGTTGCAATTGGCTAAAGCAGCACCAAAATGAGCACGTGTCAGATTAAAAAAACTGCAGTTAGCATCAGCATCAGTTACACCAGCTGAAGAAAGGCACATCCTCTTCAAATAGTGGAATTAGAGCACAAATACCAACATTTCGATCCAAATAGTGGAATTAGGGCACAAATACAAATGTTTTCAATCCACCTGGTATTTTTGCCAGCATCAGATAAAGCAAGGTCAAATTAACACAAGATCCCTAATAACCTTGTTGATGTATTTTCTGTTATCTTGCTAAAATGAGGCACTTTTTTTTCTGAGCAGGGTATACACCAGTGCAGTTTCGCATGTGTGGGAATCACAAGAAAAAAGCAAGTTCTGAATGACCAATTGAGGCTGCAGCCAGACAAAGACAGCACTGTCAACTTCAGACAACAAAGCCCAGTCCAGCACCAGTGGTTTCACACAAAGTATCTTTGAAGCATGCTGCTTTCATACCACGGAGCTGGAAGGTTGAGTCTAAGGAAGGGCTCTGCGCTCACTCCTCAGCTGGTCCCGGAACCACACATAAAGAACAGTGCACATCCTGAAAATAAAAGCCAGCTGCCACTTACTAGGGCTGCTAAAGAAGGTTAAAAAGTATGCAAATAGAAGTTCAGTTAAAAAGAGTTTATAAGAACTGAGCATCCAGGAGAGGAAAAAAACGCCCAGGTAATCCTATCCAGTGACTGGCTAACCATTACAGACGGAACTGAAAATAGGAAGAAGCAGGGGTTCCTGTAAACAGAACCTCCAAATTTTCTGTCAGCCTTCTCACAGAAAAACAACAAAGGAATTTGCCATAAAAATCATAGATGGTGGCCCCAAGAATGTTAGGAATTGAAGCAATTAATTCCTCGAGAGCAAACAGGCTGCTGTCAAGTCTCTGGGATTCATCAAAGGGATTACACTGAAAATCTAATTTTGAGAAGTGTCATCCCAAATACCTCAGTCAGCCTGAGAAGGTAATTGTTAAAACTTGATTCTCAGGGTGAAAAGTCTCTTTGGACAGTGAAATAAAACCCCAGTTTAGAAGATTATGGAAGACTTGAATCTGAACTACTCTTCCACTTCTCCACCTCAAAACTATGAAAATCACTCATTTGAGTGAGTCATCATTATTCTAAGTTCCTTACATAAGGAGAAATCAGCTCCTGCTTCTATTAATAAATCATTGCAGGTATTCCCTTGGTCTTGCTCATTGCATTAACCATGCCTAATGCTAACTTCATACAATCAATCACAGTTCACTACAAGGTGAATCTCAGTAATAGTTCAGGCATTTTTTGCAAGTAAACAAATTGTTTTCAAGCTTTAAATTGAGAAAACAACTGGACAGCCAGACCTCTGTTTGTAAAACAAATTCAATCAGTAAATAAAGGATGGGAAAAGCAGCAGCTACACTTAAAGCAAAGTTATCAGGATTTGTGCTTTTCAGCAAATCTAGTAACTGATGGCTATCTAGTAAAGAAGTGGCTTCAAAGAGGTCTCCTTTTTTCCTCCACTAAAATAATCAAGTGATCCCTGGAGAAGCTGGAGACTGGAACTTTAGAAATAGAGTAGTTATTTGACCTCTCAGTTGGAAAAAAAAAAAAACCTGTTCCATTTCAGTTTCCCTGAAGCAGTAAGACTGCAAGAATATTCATTGTATAAACCATTTCTGCTTAGAGCTGTTAGTGCAAGATGCAAATCTTCAATTTAACTCGTTAAAAAGCCCTCCAAGATTCTAGTCAACTTCCAACATCCATCACCCAAGGCAACTACAATAAGACACATTTTCTTGTGTTCTTCTTTGTCACAGGATACAGAACTGCACGGACAGCTTCAGCAAACACCTCCCGAACACCCTCCTGATTCAACGCCGAGCACTCCAAATATTTGACTGCTCCAATTTGTTTGGCCAGTGAAGTCCCCTGCTGCGGGGTAGTGGGAGCCAAGCTCTGCTCTTTCAACTTTTTAACCGTTTCCAGGTCACTTCTCAAGTCTCTCTTGGTGCCCACCAGAAGGATGGGGACGTTTGGACAGTGGTGAGAAACCTCAGGGTGCCATTTGTGCCTGACGTTGGCGTAGGAGGAGGGGCTGCCGATGGAGAAGCAGATGATGAAGACGTTGGTCTGGGGGTAGGAGAGCGTGCGCAGGCGGTCGTACTCCTCCTGGCCCGCAGTGTCCCAGAGGTTCAGGCTGACTGTCCGGCCATCCACGGTCATCTGGGCACTGTAGTTGTCAAACACAGTGGGGATGTACTCTTCTGGGAAGGCGTTGGTGGTGTAGCTGATGAGGAGACAAGTTTTGCCCACCGCGCCATCTCCGACCACCACGCACTTTATAGTCTGCATTCTTCACCCAGAAACAAAGTCCTGCTCAAAGCAAGAAGAGAGGAGTCAGGCAAAGCACACTCAGTGGTGGGCACTGTAAAGATAAGTTCAGCAAGTGTTTTTAATGTAGCTGAGGATTTCTTATCACATGCAGTGTCTCAAGCCACTCTGAAGAGCTCGGGGCTAGAAAGACAATAGTGAAATGGAGATGCAATGAGTGGAGAGCTAAGTGACAATTGGCTGCATTCCAACCATGTAAGTACAAATTAGCCAAATTCCCACAGTCTTGCCTTACTGCCAGACTGTTTCCCACAGGCAAAAGGACAAGTCCTTAGAGGCACCTGCAAGTGGAAAGGGATTGTGACCCAGTAACAAGATACTCTGTCGTTTGTAGGTTCACACATCCACCTCTGTACACACACACACACACTCCAACACTCACACTTGCCTACACAGTCTGCTATCTAAACAGTTTGCCATAAAGAAAGGTCCAAAAGTTATAAATAAAATCAAGATATTAATTTCTGGGCTGCACTGCTACTGTTTACAATAATAATTCACTACACTCAGATCAATCAGTCCTGAATAAACTACATTATTTACAGGACACCAGATAAAAGGTTCAGAAAGCAGCACACTCAAGAAAAGCTGCTCTTTGAAATCTAACTAGCCATAGTAACCCAGATTAGAATCCATAAAGAATTTTTCTAAAGAAGCGAGCAACAGATTACACTCACTAATCACTGACAGAGGAAGCAGGATTTAATAGGCTTGAGTTACTTGGTGTCCTCTAAATAATGAGCATAAGAAAAATACATGTCCTAAAAGATCAGCAGTCAAACAGCTTTCCTGGGGAATTGTTACTCAGGAGATATTTGACACTTTGAGGTTTTCCATATCCCTTTCCTGATATGTGAAAGGTAGGTTTGACAATCAAACTGATGCAGTCTAAAACACAATTAATTTTAAACTTTCATCCCATGAACAGCAAGAAGTTTGAAAATAGCAAGGAACTAACTACAAGCACTCATTTGTTGTACATTTCTTGTGTGCTGGAGCTTCCACTGCTAGCCTGAACAAGAAGGAACTTGCATCTGCCTTCTCACCCAAATGCCTTTGAGGGACTAGCAGTAATCCTCAACTTGCAACCAGCAGAAAATACCCTGCTTCAAACAGAAGAGAATAGTGGGAAGAACTTTTTAGCAGGCCCTGTTATGATAGAACATGGGGCAGTGGCTTTAAACTAGGAAAAGATTGATTTAGATTAGATATAAGGTAGAAGTTATTTACAGTCAGGGTGGTGAAACACTGGCACAGGTTGCCCAGAGAAACTGTGGCTGCCCCATCCCTGCAAAGGCCAGGCTGGATGGGGCCCTGAGCAAGCTGATCTCACTGAAATGTCCCTGCTCACTGCAGGGTGGTTGAACCAGATGACTTTCAAAGGTTCCTTCCAACCCCAACTATTTTGATTGCATATTCCAGAAAGATCTCAGCTCCAGCACCATCAGAGTGGCAAAGGGGATACAGAACTTCAAGACCATCTAAATAAATCAACAATTCATTCCCATTTAAGCCTCAGCTTTGTCCTTCTAGACAAAGCCTTTACCTGCATTCACCTTCTCACTGGGAGCACACAATTCTTCTGAACTAAATGAAAAAGGGCTACCTGAAGTTTTGCACAGAGCTGAAACTGGAGTGACACGGACTGGTCACTGCAGCACACAGTGCTGAGGAAGCATCAATGTACCTGCACAGACACCAGGGAAACCACATGGTGGGAAGGAGCCAGCACCTTGTGCTGCTGCTGCTGCCACAGCCTGGCTGGACACAGGGCAGGCTTTAAAGCCCATTCCTGCACTCATGTCAAACCAAACCCCTGAAGCACCAGAACGTGCTGTGCCAGAAACCTGAAAGTGGCTTCCAGAGCAAAGTTTTTTTTCCCCAAATGAACTATCTGGGCAACAGACAATTCATTTTGACCAGCCAGTAACAAGTGACATCACAGAGATGGCAGAGCTAAGTCAGCAACAAAAACCAGATGATACACAAAGCCTTTTATATGCCCAACCCCTGGTTTCCGAAATAAACAAATTGCAAACACTTGTAAACAGATCTCTCTTGAAAACCCAAACAGGGACTTACATCTCTTAAATATCTGTGCACTTGTGTCCAGAGCTCTGCACAGAGTGACAGGGTATCCCCAAACTGCATCCCAGCCTGCACATGGCTGGAGGGACATCACAGCAGCACCCTCAGGCAACACAGCTTCCCAAATGGATAAACTCCAAAGCCACCATCAGCAGCTAACACAATCTGATTCAAAATGTCTCATGAAACTGTGTTACTGAAAGATTACTTTGTTGGTGCTTTATTTAAGGCTATTACAAATTTCAATTTGGAAATCGCTAATAAAGTAACAAAAAAAGCCTGAAACATGAATGCTCTTTTCAGGGCACTAATACCTTGAATTACCTCACTAAAACTCCGATTTTAGAAGAGCAACATTTGCAAGGGGAAATAACTCCAGGCAAACCTGCCAAGGCACTGGGCAAAGTATTAACTACACAAACACAGCTAAAGAGCTTGTAGGCTTTTAAGTATGATTCTCTGAAGGGCCCCTTTAAAGGAGGTTGCCTGAGCTGAAAGGAATCGTGTGTGGCATTTGCAATACAGAAAAACAAACACACACCAGGATACACATTCCTTGTATTGAAACACAAAATTTAGATTAATTAATCAAAAAGTAAAGCAGTAGAAAGAAGCTACTTGACTGTAGAAAATTATGTTGTGAGCAAGGGTAGTTTGGTTAAAGATTGATATATGGAAGACAAAGAGTTTTTCAATTTAAGTCACAACCAAGCAAACTACTATTCCCTCCATCAGGTCTTTTCAATTAAATCCACATACTTAATAACTCATAATGTATGAAATCTCTAATTATTTTTTTAGCAAACAATTTGCCTACAATAAAATTCTCATAAGATAGTAAAAAAGCCTGGGCTCAAATTTGCATGGAAAATTCCTGTTTCTTAAGCACCCTTGAAGTTGGCACTGCATGCTATCAAAATATAAATATACATTGAAAAAAAATCCCAAACTCCAAAAACAAAATTACCAATAAAAATTACCAGGAGTAGGAAAATTGGTTTAGGGTTTGTTTGGGATTTTTTTGGTGACCTACAAAAGAATTTTTGGGGAAACTTTAGAGAGAAAAACTCCACATATGACAAGTAACAAGAAATGAAAGAAAGAAAAATACAGATTAACACGTCAATACATAAAAAAAACCCCAATTTAGAAACAGAAAGCTGGGCACAAGCTTCAAAGTCAAGTTGAAAGGTTATGCAGCAAGAGAAACAAACGAACAGAAAATCCAATGCAGTGAGAGGTAATCTGGGTTCCTTAGTCCTTGCAGAGAAAGGACTTTTATTGCAGTTGAGGTTCTAGCAGTTACAGCAGAATGGGAATAATTTTCAAATTAAATTATTTTTTTAAAAAACAACCAGGAAAAAAAAAAAGAAAAAAAATTTAAAAAAGGGGAAAAAAAAAAGAAAATAAAAAAAAGAAAAATCCCCACACCAAATCACCCCACGCAGAAGTGTTGTGCAAAAATACTTAGATAAGAGTTATTTCTATCTTGTCCATCAATGACTTTGAATTTGAAAACTGGCATTCCCTGTTTGGGTTAGTTCCCTTCTCAGAAGATGCTGCAAAGTCTGACTTCACTGCCTGCACACCTGGCACTTCCTCTGGAATGTGCAAGATTTCAACATGTCAAGACATCATCTGAAGAGCTGCTCCTGTTCTGACCTAATTAAGCATTTTCTGGTATCATTAACATGGGCAGTTTGCTCTCCAGACAAACATTTGCTGGGGAAATTCACTACTTGGAACACACACACAGAGCAACTTCATGTTGCATCAAACTTTGTGGTAGAGAAACAACTTCTAGATCTTCCCTTAATACTCCTGAAGGGAAGTTCCCTGTCTGCTGAGAGAAGGGAGAATACAGTGACAGAAAACAGAGAGAAAACAGGAACCTGGATCCTTTGGCAGTTTTCTGGATTTATCTTTTCATACTTCCTACCCTTCTAAAACCCCTTTGCAGAACTTCTTAGCAGGACACGCCTCTGCCTTTGCTCTGCTAACATCAGATGCTCTTTGTGAGGTGGATTTTAGCTCTGATATTGCTCTCTGATAAACTCACTCTCACTGAGTTTGTCAGCTCTTCCTTCCTTCTCTTTACAGTCTAGATAGGGCCCTGTTTTAGCCAAAACTGAGCAGAAAAGTCTCTAATTCAGCCGAAATCAGCTGTACTGAGCTGTGTAATTCTGCTCAGCCATCACATTTCATCAAGCCCTCGCTGTTTTGGAGAACCAGATCCTGCTTTACCAGGGGCAGGCAGAAATTAAGAAATTGAAACAACTTAATTGCTCATCTTTCAGTAACCAAAACTAGATCAGAGACAATTCACTCTGTCTGCCTGAAACATGAAGTCAGGCAGGAACTTTCAACAAAGAACTGGGTGGATAGGGCAGTTCTAAATATATCACACCATCCTCACCCATGCAAAGGAGTTAATTCACATGTGCAGCTTATCCACCAGCCCCAGCAGGGAAGAGAAAGGGGCTCTCAGCAATTTAATCAAGACTCTGTTACTATCCCACAACAGCTCAGCTTACTTGCCATTGTTTCAGGCAAGTGCCAAAGGGATGGAGAAGTGCCAGGCTTTCAGAATGCGTGCCAAGAAAGAGCAGAAAAAGTTAAATAGGAGACCTCATCCCTCATATCCTTCAGCAGTGAATGACCTACTTGGACTTCTCAGTGCCTCTCAGAGTTTTCACACCACTTTCTGTCCTACCATTTACCTGCAAGAAAAATAAAACTGCAACAGTCTGGGTGGCTGTGAAAGGGGGAAAAATCCACAAGGGAAGGCAGATTTCAGCAGCACAGCAGGAACTGTGCAGTCCAGCACCCAGGCTCCATGTGAACAACAGAACTGAGGGAGCTTGCTCCTTTCCAAGCTCTCTGCCTATAAATTCAGCTCCCAAGCACACAACAGGAGTGCAATTCCTGCTGGTTGCTCCTTCAGTGCCAATGCTAGAGAGACCTTCATGCCTTTTCTAGGAAATAAAAGAAACTTCTTAAAACCTTTCAAATAATATTTTTAAAACCTCTACCTCTGTCAAATTAGGCTGAAATTGGTTTGATTTAAAGATTTTTTTTTCAGGGATGAAACACACAAAAGCAATATTTCTTAGAAATCTACATGAAAATGAAGTCTTCTGCTTGAGGTATTTGGGCAACTCACCTACACAAGCCTCTTACTACAGGCACTTATACCCCAAATTTTATAGCAGAGCAATTATATTAGTGACCAAACATCAAACACCTTCAATTCCATGAATCCAAGGTATTGAATGGATTATCAATATTTCCAAAGGGCATTAGCTCGTGGAGGAGATACAGAGCTGATGCAATAACACTGTGACAAGGTGCAGCTGCACAGCCCACAGGAACTCAAGCCAAGACTCCAGCAGATATCTGGATCCCCAGTGTATGAACATGACACATATCCTGCCATAATCAAAAGCTGCAGAGTATTAAACTTGGATTTCCCTCCTGACACCACGTGCAGATTCATGCATTAATCAAGACAGGGATCCTTCACAGTTTATTTGAACACAAGTGGACCCTTTGATGGTGGGCACAGCAAAGGTGTAAGAACAGGAGCCAGGGCTGCTGTGCCCACACTCGTTAACTCACTCCCAGGTGATCCAAGCAACTGCTGGGGGGGTCACAGTCAGCTCATAAAAAGTTAATAACCATGTCCTTCCCACCTTCCATCGATTCTGACAAGGCTTTAGTGGCTACTGTTGGCTAAAAGAAACAAACAGTACCTCAGACATAAAGTTCTGTGGAGAGGCGTTTTAGGCTCGTTGCAGGATGAATGATAAATCCAGTTTAAGCATTCTTGATTCCTGTTTGAGGGAAAAAGAACAATAAAAACTGTTAGTGTGTCCTCCTATCATCTTTTGTCACCTGGCATTTGCTGGCAGTCTCAGTTGTAACAAAGCCACTGTTGTGCATGAAGGGCAATGTTATACCAGGAAAATCTAAGCTTCTTTCTGTGAGGAAAAAAAGCCCCTCCACACTTTTCATTGGATTGCACTTCTCTGAGTCCTCCTCTTCCACCCCCAAATTTCACTGGGGAGAAGGGGGGGGGCAGGGGGAGGGAGATTTAATAACAAATAAAAACACAAACAAGAATAAACACAAAATAAAATCAAACAAAACCCAACGAAAAACAAAACCGAAACAAAATCAAACAAAAACAGAAAAACTCAAAACACAGAAACCAAAACAAACAAACAAACACAACCCCCAAACAAAAACAAACAAAAATGCACTTGCTCAATCAATACCATTTTTTTTCAAAGAGTTTTGGTATGACTAAGACAGGAGCTAATGCATGCACTCAGTGTGTATTTTATCATGGCTTAGCACTACAATACTGCAACCATTGCCAAGTCTCATTTGCATCAAGCATTGCAATTCTAAAATGTGAGCAAAAGTTACCAAGGTCAAGGAGTCTCTCAGCAGTTCATCAGATTTACACATACCGGCATGTAAAATAAAAAAACATTTCCTGTAAAGGTACAAATCTACACGTGGCACCAGATTGTGTGAAAATACTTTGGACCCCAAAAGAATCACAGCCTCATCACACAAACAAATCAAACCACACGTTCAGCTTCCTCCTACTAACTGCAAACCGCATATTTTGTTGTTTTTCCAGGATCTCTATGAAGTTCCTCCTATGAATAATATTTATAAGTTTTTAAAATTGAAATCATAATCTAAAATATATCTCATAATCTTGAATTCCTTGTAGAAAAACCGCTGTGCTGGTGAACAGTGGCAAACTGGCTCCCCAGTATGCCTTCAAGTGATGTATTTTACATCTTATACGGAAGAGAACGTGAGCTTTTTAAAAATCAAAAAATTAGCTTAGGGCAAAGAGCAAATGATGCTGCTACAAGAAGTACTGCACCCCAGCCCAGAACACACAGTGCAAGCATAAGGTACGCATAAAAACTCTTAAATGAAAGCATTTAAAGCTTTTTTATAACTCAGAGTAATTATGGTGGGAATCACAAGAGTCTGTAAAGAATAAACAGATACTGATTACTCACTGCTTCCTGAAAAAAAAAAAAAAAAAACCCAAAAAAACCCAAAACCAAACAAAACCAGAAAACAACAGAGGGGAAAAAACCAGAGAGAAGTTCAGAACAAATAAAAAGCAGCATTGCTTCTCAGGGTTTGAGGTTAAGCAGGAACTCAGTGCACGTTGCTATAAAACCGAAAGTTCCCAGCGTGCAGAAGAGAACCACTGAGCTGATGAAGGGCAGCTCCTGCAGCTGCTATGAGACCATACCTGGCATCCCCCAGAGTGTTTTAGGTCACCACCTTGCACCGCTCTACCTGAGACAGCACTTTGCCAGCTTCTGGAGAACAAATCCAACCTTCCTGTCCTTACTTATCCTCACTCTCAGCAGTGAGGCAAGGGACCTTCCCAAGGCTGCTTCATCCCGTGCCAACTTTTTATGACGCTCGCTGGGAGCAGAGGTCGCCTTAAATTCGTCGCGGTGCGCCCGATCGGGATTAGCATCGCGCTGGCATCGGAACAGCCCAGCCCAGCCCAGCGCAGCCTGGGCACACTGCGGGACCGGGGCAAGCGCCACCAGCCCTGCCCGGGGCCGCTCCCCGTACCCCCGGAGCAGAGAAAGGCTCGTTCCAAGCCCTTCCCCAGCACCTCTGGGCCCCCGACCGCCACATTCACCTCCGCACGCACCGCCCAGCGCGAAGCCGGGCGCGCATCCCTTCCCGAAGCCCTCGGGGCCCGAAGGAGCCGGGCGCCACGCGGCTGCGGCGGAGCGGCCCCCGGTACCCCCGGGGTACCTGCCCTGCCCCGGAGCCGGCCGCGTCCCGGCGGGACAGGTGCCGCCACAGCGTCCCCCGGTTCGGGAGCGGCGGCGCTCGGGCGGGCGGAGGCCGCGGGCCGCGCCCCGCTGTCAGCGCGGCCGGCGGGGCCGGGCACGGAGGATGTTCCGGCACGGCCGGGCGGGAACACACGCGGCCACGCGCGGGGCCCGCCGGGGCCGCCGCTCCCCCGCCGCCCTCCGGGCCCGCCGCTCCCCCGCCCTTCCCGCGGGCTCTCCGGGTCCCGCCGCTCGCCTTCCCGCCCCCGCGCCCCGGCGGTGCCGCCGCCGCCGCCCCGCGCTCACCTCCGGCGCGGCCCCGCGGCCCCGCTGCTCCCCGCGGACCCCGACCCGGCCGCGCCCCGCGCCCGCCGCCGCGCGCACGCGCCCTCCGCGCCGCCGCTCCCCGAGGAGCCGCCAGGGGGCGCGCGCGGCCGGGGCGGGCGGAGCGCGGGGAGCGGCGGCCCCGGAGAGCGGAGCGGAACGGAACCGAGCGGAACGGAGCGGAACGGAACGGAGCGGAGCATCCCCTCGGGCCCGGCCCGGGTCTGCGGCACCGGTGCAGTGCTCCGATACTGCCCCGCCATCCGCCCCCCTGTGATCCTGCTGATGCTAAATTCGTTATTTCGTAATTATGCCTTGTCCGAATATATCTTGAGCGAGGAGGGTTGGTCTGACTTTGGATGATTTCTCAGTAGATTCACTTCAAAACCCATAAGCAGAAATACGCACGGGTGTCTGTGTGCACACAGCCACAAATACGTAACATGTATCCTTAATAAGGACGATATATCCTTAATAAAGGTAATGCTAGCAAAAGGAAAGAATAGCAAAAGTGAGTGTTTGCTTTCTCTACACGAGACTGTCCGATTAAGTGGCGCTGTGGCAGAAGATTGCTGGGTTTTTCACATGGGCGAATGCTCCGGTCCGTGGCGTGCGCCGCCCCCGCTCCCGGCGCTGTGCCGCGTTACCCCGCGCAGCTCCCGCGGACATCCCCCGCCTCCGCCTGGCCCGGGGCGCCTTCCGCATCCCGCTGCTCCCCCGGGCGGTTTCACGCCTCTCAGGAGCTGTGCACGAACGCCACGGCTCCGCTTTGGCTGCCGGCGGCGGTGACGCTCCCGTGTCCGCGGTCGCAGTCTCCCGACAAAGCCGCAGGGCTCGGCTTCCCCAGTGCCGGGCGGGGGAGACAGCAAGAGCTCAGCTCAGCTCAGCCCGGGGCTCAGCACCCCAGGAGCGGCAGGGAAGGCTCTGTCCACCCCCAGAAATGCCAGGGTCAGGGAGGGTGCTGGGCTCTGAACGCCCAATCCCCAGGGACACCGAAGGTGACTCCTGCTGTCCTGCCCCAGCCAGGCACAGAAGAGGAAGTGACACAAGGCAGGGTTTGGCCCGCGGATGTTTCTCAAGTGCCCGTCACGGATTTCAGAGGACAGCCTTTGCTCTGGGTGTTTATTAATTGTCCCTTCCGACCCGGGAGAGGCCACACTGCAGCCTGCACACGGCTCTGGACTAGGTCTGCTCTTCTGGAGCTGGTGCCAAGGTGCCCAGCAGCTCAGGGGGTCCAGGAGAGCTGGAGAGGGGCTTGGGACAAGGGATGGAGGCACAGGACCCAGGGAATGGCTGAAGCACTCGACCATCAGTTACTCGGTGTTATCATATCCGGTGTTCCCATCTCCAACTCTTCCTCATCTTCCTCCTCGGACCAGCTCAAGCTGTCATCAGAGTCCTCATCCTGCACAGCCCCAGGCTCCTCTGTGCTTGCAGCTTCCTTCTCTTGCTCACCACAGGACTGCAGCTTGCTTTGGGGGAGCTCCAGCCTGGCCCAGGAGCCAGGGCTGGCTTTGCAGAGCGTGATCTCCACCTTGGCTGGGACCATGCTCACAAAGCTCTTCTCCACATCAATGGTCTAGAGAGTGGGAAAGGTGCAGTGAGCCGGGCAGGGGAGGGCAGGCAGCTCAGCCTTCCCCTCGTGGCAAAGCCCTGCCAGAGGAGAAATCTCCTCCTGTGCCAGGAGAAGCTGAGCTGCAGCTGAGCTGAGCTGAGCTGAGCTGAGCTGAGCTGAGCTGAGCTGAGCTGAGCTGAGCTGAGCTTCACATTGCTGTGCCTCAGCAGCACCGCCGCGCTGGTTCAGAGCTCAGGAGAGCTCAGCTTGTCTCAGCTGCACTCGCAGCCTCCCCCCAGCAGGAGCTGCGCCGAGACACAGCCATCCCCACACCTGTCAGCCCTCTACCGCCTGCAGGCACAGCCAGCACCAGAAATACAGACCAGAAACGCACAGGCAAATTCCTGAGCCTCACTGCTGCTCTCCCCAGCCAGCGAGCAGCTGAAAAATCAGTCTCATAGCTCAGACCTGCAACTCACAGCAGCATTATGGGGGAGACAGGGACCTGCTGGGCCAAAGAACGTTTGGGGCAGTCTGGGAGCAAACCCAGAACACCTATAGGACTGGCAGGGACCTCCAGCTCCGACCTTAGCTCTGGATCAGTCAGTGCAGCCACCTCAGCCTCCTCACACCCCCTAAGGCATTTCCCGGCAGAGATGGCCATAAATGCTTGTATCTGGGCAACCCAGCCCAGGATGAAAAGCTCAGGCTGCCTCCCAGAGCTGCAGCCCAGCCCCATGCAGACTGCTGGAACAGGGAAATCAAAGCAAACAGGGTCTTACCCCCCAGAGCTCCAGTTCTGCCTGGAAAATCTTATTCCCTTCAAAGATGACATGAGCCTCAAGCTGAAAGATCAACAGAAAATTATCTGAGAGGGTAGCACAGCACTGCCAGAGCTCTTCTCCCAGACAGTGCAGCTGCCTTTCAGCACCATACTGCATCCCTGGTGATGCCCTCAGCACCTGGCAACACTCCACCCCTGTCAGAGCATGACAGCTTCACCTATGTCACAGGTCAAGGGACCCAAAGCCAGCAAATCCACCCACCCACTGAAGCTGAAAGCCAGAGCTGCTGGGCAGATGCAGCAGTGGGGCCATCAGGCTCTCAGCTCAGGGATGGCAG